AAGTTATAAAACTACCAAATATGAACATTGTCCCCCCAGAGATTCGACACAACCCTAAGTACTGGCCATGGTTTAAGGTACAATCTGACTCTCATCATATACTACTAATATGACAAATAATTTTAAATTAATCGTAACTCACGCCTTATGTATTTTAATAGGATTGTATTGGTGCAATAGACGGTACACACATGATGGTTGTCCCACCTGCACATCAACAGACAATCTACAGAGGAAAAAGACATTCGTGCACTCAAAATGTAATGGCGGCGTGTAGTTTTGATATGCTATTCACTTATGTCAATACCGGATGGGAAGGATCAGCTGCTGATTCCAGAGTGTTAACTGAGACTATGAGAGATCCAAATGACCCATTCTTGGCGCCACCCCCCCTAAAATATTACGTTGTGGATTCCGGTTACAGCAACACGCAAGGCTTTTTGGCACCATTTCGTGGTCAGAGGTACCATATTCAACAGTTTAGAAATGATGGTCAACCAACGGGACCACAAGAGTTATTCAATTATTATCACTCTTCACTGCGTAATTGCATAGAGAGGTGCTTTGGGGTCTTGAAAGCAAGGTTTAAAATTCTTAGGCATATGACCAATTATTGGATGCCAAGACAAAATGTTATACCAATAGCTTGTTGTGTGATCCACAATTTAATTAAGATGCACGCGCGAGATGATCCTCTATTTAGACAATATGAGGTCGATTTGCCCGTAGAAGATATTGAGGGAGAACAAGAAGGGCAATAGGAACAACAACATGGTATGGATGCATAAGAAGCAGAAACATCTGAAATGGGTGGGCGGCAACAACGTAATTACATGGTTAATTTTAGAGATCATCTAGCTAATCAAATGTGGGATTCGTATAGGTGACAATAATTTAAGCTAATATTGTAATTTCCATATTTTATTAATTATTAGTGTTTTTATTTGTGATTCAATTATTATTTATTTAATATATTAAATACATGTTTTCAAAAATGAAACCACCAAACACAGTTTCAGTTTTTTTTAAAACTGAAATCAATCTCTAAATAAAACTACCAAACGCATTTTCAGAAATAATTAAAAAATGAAAATGAAAACGTTTTCATTTTCATTTTCGTACAGAAAACAAAAACGTTTTAGAATCAATTCCAAATGCACCCATAGGTTTTTCCTTCGCCGTTTTGGATTATTCCTAACCCTCGGTGATTAGAGCAAATATGTCTTACTATCAGTAACCATTCTTTTGCTGTATAGCTTTCTATTTATGCTCTTTGGAGCTGTTATAGTGGAGCTTTCTTTTGTTATTTATATTTGGAAGTGATCAAACTTTGTTGGTTCAATCATCTTATCTTACATATACAATAAGAATAAGGATTAATTACAAAAGTTCTTCCTAAATTATACCCTCTTAACACTTAACTTCCTGATTTTTAAAACGTCACGTCTATTCTCCCTGAACAATAAAATGCTAATAAAAAAAAGCCTCATCCATTAAGTTTTTAATTGAAATAGACATTTAATTTTCTATTTTGAAGGTATTTTAGAAATTATATTACTTAAAATTTAATTTATATTTAAACTAACTTAAATATTAAAAAAAACTTCATAATTTTTTTTTATTCTACCAGAAAAGATTAATAAAATTTTTAACTTACATTCAATCAATAATGAATATATCATAATTAAAAGTTTAAATTTAAATTAATTTTAAATTCAAACTAAATTTTAAATCATAGAACTACAAAAAAATCCCAAAATACAAAATATAAATGTTATTTTCTGTTAAAAAAAAGTTAATGGAGAGAAGTTTTTGTTACATTTTATTGTTAAGAAAAAATAGATATTATGTGCAAGAGTATAATTTAGAAAGAATTTTTATAATTGATTTAGAATAAAAAAGATTACAATAAGAATAAAAAACGGTATTGTAGCTGTTATAGTACCGTCGATCAAAACACTCGTTGTGGTTGAAACGTGCACTTTGCTCACCTTTTTTATTTTAACAATTGGTTGTTTTTCTTTTACTTTTCTTCCCTAAAGTTTTTATATTTTTCGGTTTTGACCTTCTTTTTAAATTTTTTCTTTCATTTACTCTTACTAATTTTGTTGTCAAATGTGATCCGACTTAGATATTTCTTTAAAGTGCTTCTCTACTATATTGTTATACCAAAAGTTATTTTCTAATTGTCCCGCTAAAATAAATTTATAAGAATATACCCTACTTAATTTTTTAAGTGGCCTTTTCAACCACTATTTTTCATAAATAGCATTTTTCTAATTTGTTCATCTTGCATTATTTTTCTCTAAATGTATCACTATTTAATTATTTTTTAGCATTGTAAAGTGTTACTATATCAAAAATGATTCTCAAAATACTTTTTTTTTGTTGCTCAATTAAACTATTTTTAAAAAAATATATGTTATTGTTTGTTGATGTTGTCCCTAGCTAAATATTTTTTCATATACTCCTCTAAAGTATTACTGCATCACAAGTGACCTTGTTAATATATGTTTTTTATACAAGTTCTCTACTAAACTATTTTCTCTTAAATATATACCTAATCCAACATCTTTCTCATACATCATTCTTAATTAATTTTACTCGAATATGTCCGTATTTAAAGATCTCTTTTCTCTCGCCTTAACAAATATTATTTTCTACCACGTATTTTTTAAATATTTTATTGTCTAATTTTATCTTATTAAGTTTTTCTTTAAATGTACTATACCAATGTGTTATAGTTAGATTCAACTTATTTAATTCTCATGTGCCATAAATCTCGTGTTTATCGCACGTGCTTTTCAACTAATATATTTAGAATTTTTCACGTCTCTTTTCTTTATGCATGGTGATCTGGTATCGCGAATTTCCCTTCATATAATAATAATCATATGAAATTGCTTAACCATGGTCTAGGAATAGGCAATCCTGAGCGTAGGCATTCAAATGCCTTTCGGTTTTCTGAACTTTTATTTTTGAAAAAAAAAATTAAAAACTCTACTTTTTAAGTATCTAACTCACTAAAAGTATCCTTTTCAAAAACTCTATCTCTTAACTAATTCTAATCTAAAAAATAAAAATATATAAAATAATATTAAGGGATAGAAATAAAAGAACCTCCTATTTTAAAATTTTTTTTTTATTCTATAAATCCCATAGTTATACTTTAGGCTGTTAATTAGTATACCAAACTTTCATGGCTCCAACTCCGACTTCTATTATAACTTTTCTAGGATTTTACTTTGAAGGATCAAATTTATGAGTTATAAAATGAGTAAATTAAACTCAATGGCATTAAATAACTCGTTAATATATTCCATGAGAATAAATTGATTCATTTTCCTTCATTATTTATTTTGCAACTATACCAATCGAGTTGAATGTTTTGTAACTTTTATTTACAAAACTCGTGCAGACTGCACACAATCTGACTACCTGAATTTGTTTCTTCATTATTCTAAAATTAAATTAAGAGGAACAATTCTAACAGAGAAAAATAAGGGCACAAAACTAAATTGACCAAAAGAAAATACTATCATCAGCTTCAATACCATCATCTTCAGCTTCTTCTCAAACCACTATAAGCCCAAAGGGAAAATCCCCAACTTTGGAAAATCCCCAACCATTCCGTTGCTAGAACTGAACAATGCTCGTTTGGTATATAAGTTCAGAAAAAACTTTGTAGCAGAATCAAAACCATGAATTTAGATTTAAACATGAAAATCCATATACCAAACATAAATTGACCAAAAGAAAATATACTTGGACTTTTCATCCATTAATTTTGGTCAAGAAATTACAGTATCTATTTATCAATGTATATCCAAGTGATCTAACATAATACTCTATGAAAGAAACAGAACATTTCCTCACTTGACATAGCCTTTTCTTTTGCAAACTAATCTCTACTACAAAGCATAAAAAAATAATAAAATAACAAAACACGAATTGCACAAAATTACTGATTTTTGTTTTTTCAAAGAAACACTAAACAGTAATCATAATCAGATAATAACAATAAGAAAATTCAATTGAAGAAGATATGCATTAGAACAAAATCAAAGCAACATTTTTCCCTTCAATTATAAAGTAAAGCCCCTTTTGTGACGATTTGGGGCCGATCACAGAAGATAAACCCTAGAATTCTAGAAAAGAACAGAAAAGAAAGGAATGGAAATTGATGATAAACGAAGATGACAAGGAAGAAGAGGGTTCAATTGATATCGGAATCGTCGAAATCATCCTCGAAGGAGTTGAAGAACCCGGCGTCGGCGATCTTGTTGTCAGCGATGATGCTATCGCCCAGAATCTCCAGAGGATCCACGTCGTCCACGTCCATCGCCATCGTCGAACCTTGCTCGTCCATGTCGCCGAAGTAGTCAATCGTCGTCGGCCTCATCGTCTCTCTTTCTACAAATTCTCTCTCTCTCTAGAATTCTCTTTTTCTCTCTCTCACTCTAAGAATTGCAGAGGAAGCGAGTCCTCGAGGACGACGTACAAAAACCCCGTGTAACACAAAAGGCAAGTTTTTCTGTCAAACGGCGTCGTTCAACACAACAATTGCCGCATTGATATGTTTGCCCCCTTAATGTTTATGGTTTAACTGTATGGTCCTTGAAGTAAAAATTATGGCAATCTCATCCCTAAAAATCCACAGCAACCTTAAGAGACTCAACTCTCTTAATTTTCGCTCATTACCTCTGGGAATGTCCTTAACTTTAAATATTATATTATACATGCGTACAAATATATAGTGTGTTCGGTATCAGTTCTGTTTTCATTTTTCATGTTTTTCGAGACAAAAAAGCATAAATTGAGGAGGAAAACGCATTTGGAGGAAAAAATGTGAAAAAAATGAAAACAAAAACGGTTTTCGGTTTAGTACAAAATGACTTAAAAACTGAAAATGAATTTAAGTCGTCCCACACACACCATGGATACTCATACCCAGAAATCAACCCAGCTCTTAGAACCAGCTAGATTATCCTCGTCCATTACTATTCCCGACTCCTATAAAAAATCCCTTACCTTAAAAATAGAAAAGCTAGTAGAATATTCTTACATCCCTAAAGCTGCCACAGTAGAAGAGTCAGTTCCTCTTTTGTTAAGTCCATACAATGTTTTTAAAAGACACCGTCGTACTATTAGACAACTTATCACTAATACCAGACCTGCCATTAAAGAATACATACAGTTATCCAAGTTAGATAAGTGTCTTTTTCCCAATACCTCCTAAGAACTGTATGTTGACCTGGTAATACCACAAGAGCTCATCTCCCGATGGATTGCTGAAGGTCACACTCATCTCCATTTCGGAGCAATCAAGCTTATCCTAACCCTTCATAGTAGAAAAGAATTACCTGCCACTGTTCATTTGTCACTCTTAGATACTAGGTACACAAAATATGAACATGCAGTAATAGAAACTACACTATCCACACTTTATGCTAGTAGAATCCTATTAACCTTTTTCCCAAACTTCAATATTCCACTAAAAGACCCACACTTGTCTAAGTGTCTTAAAGTTCAACTTCAAATCACTGGTGCAGAACAAGATTCCATCCTCATACATAGTCACACTCCATCATCAGCTCATTTACAGACTGCAGAATCATGCACTTGACCTCCCACTACCAGGTCATACCACAAACACTCTGCTCATCACAACAAAAAGAGAAAATGAGATACCTAGTGTTGGGGCTCTTTTGGTGAGGGCCTGTCGACGTGGAAGGTAGGGGATGCGTGGCCCCTTTTTGGTTTGTGATGACTGTGCTCTTGCCGACTGACGTGGTCAGAGAGCTGCTGAGGGAGCTTCCTGGCGTTGACGGTGGCCGAGGGGATGAGATTGGCCCCGGCTGAGGTAGGCAAGACCCGGATGACCCCGAGGATGATGGTATCCGAGGGCGACACCCGTTGCGGCTTTGGCTCCGTGACGGTGAAGAGTTTCTGATGGGGATCTCCCAGTGAGCATATAGTGTGGGAGAGGAATGTGACCAGTTTATAGAGGAGGTTCCTAAGTGGGCGATGGGGTTATATCTCCCTATTTGTGAACACAATGACTCCGACGGACGTAGTGTATAGAGGGATAAAAACTCTGTCGTGGGGGGTGTTAGGCCATGGTTAAGGGATTTCGATGCTCCGGGGAGCTTTTGTTACCACTTCCGATGGGGAGAACGCCTAGAAACCTGTTCTAGAGGGACTTCGCCGGAAGTTATGGAGAATAAAATTCTCCTTCGGTCGCTCTGATAGAAACTGGAAATCTAGGGAAATTAGCCAGAATAGGGGATCTTTGACATGCGTTTTCTCCCTTTTTCCCAGTGTCGTCCCCCTTTGAGAGGTCTTGACAACAATATTTATAGACCAGGAACACGGTAAAAGGAGGGAAGTTTTCCCTCCAACAGTTTTGAACTTTGGCTAAAATCCCCCCAAAGGTCCCTTTCGGTAAGGCATTTCCAGTGTGATTTAAGGATAGTTTTCATTGATCCTAGAGGGAGGTTTACCAAAAAGATGAATAAGTAGGTTATTGGGCAGCCACACGGTCAAAAGGTTGCCCTCCCTTGTCTGTGTATACTCTGGCTCCTTAGAGTTTTTTGGGGAAGAGACTGCGTTTGCCGCCTGGGAAGGTAAGGGCAGTGAATGGAAAAAGAGGAAAGACATGGAGAAAAATGCTATTTTGTCTCTTAGTACAAGGTAATGGACCAATAGGCTTTTTCTAGGCTACTTATAAAAGATTTAGAACTGTAAAGGTAGCGGCTGTAAGCTTAGGTAATTTGTTTTACTCTGTCTAATTTCCTCCATAACACACGTTATCCTAATTCCCTCATAGATCCAAGACCACCCCAAGTGGGCCAATGATCTAATTGGGCCGGATAAAATGGGCACGGTCACATTCCTTGGCCTACCAAATCACGACCCACATAGAAGTCCCCGAAACGTAGCTTAGGTCCACATGCCATATCTGGAGTTGTATTTATTAGATCTGAGCTGGGCCGTTACCTTGTAGAATTTTGGGTATCAACACCTAGCATTGTGCAGATTCCCAAGCCACTCTTCCAAGAAGAAATGACATACCTAGCATTGTGCAGATTCCCAAGCAACTCTCCCAAGAAGAAATGACATAACTTATGCCTTTTGAGTGGTTTACCAATTATGAGAAACTACACTAGAATCATAAGCCCATCCGCACAGTTGATCCAACCTTCGTTTGATTTGAAGATGGAAAGGTAAAAACTATCTTCAACCTTCCCGATGAAGGTTCCAGCACAACACCATCCTTGATGATCAAACTAGTATCTGCAGAAGAAGATATCCCTGTCAACGGCTTTGAAGTAGGTGGATCCAAGGTATTTACTGACAAGATCGATGGTCACTTCATATGGGATACTGATCCCTCTATATGTGACCCAGGTTGTGACTGTTGGATGGACCTTGAAGATGATGAGGAAGATGATTATCGAAGCAGCAGAAGGAGAAAAAAGAAAGGAACTTGCAAGCCTCAATCTCAGACAATCAGAAGACAATACCATCCTGATGATCCAGATAGTCCCTGGGTTTTCAAGAAGAAACCTGAGGATTCATCCACATCAGGTGCTGCACCATGTATGATGTTCTCACCATATGATCGAGATTTCCGAACTCTCGAAAGGCAGATGGACCAGACAACCAAGGTGGTCTCACGACCATATGTCCAACCTACAGAGATACAACCAGACGTTAGAACAAAGCCTCTGTTCCAAGCAGAAGAAGTTCTGAACTGGCAAACTCAAAATGCCAGGGCACTTAACCAGGCCTTACAGAAGATTGAAACAAAGGTTGATAAGGTCGTAGTCGAGTCCAATCTTACTGACAAGAACCTTGACATCCTCAGTGATGATGTAGGAAGGCTCTACAACAACCTCCAGTCAAGAATTGACTTAAGAGACCTCATCAACCAAGGGTATTTTGGTTGAAAATTTGACAACAAGGAAGCATAAATCTCGAGACTAAAAGCTAAACTCAGACAAATCGATGGAGATTTGGATAGAAGAGAAATGAGAATGTTTGATCCTCCTTCCTATCCATTTCCTCCATTCGGACCTTCACTTTTCCCTTCATACTCATATTCATCTCAGCCTGACTATTCAAAGATCTTCAAGATGACACATGAGATCTTCAGAGACACAATCTGGTCAAAGCCAACTACTTCACCAAGGCCAACTTCTTCAAAACCAAAAACCACTAGAATGAGTCTATTATCAGAAGAAGATGAGCTTGTTCTATAAAAGGCCAAACCGGCTACAGAAGGAACATAAGGAAAGGGAAAAATCCCATGATACACCCTTGCTCACATGGCACTCTCCTCAATAATAGAAACAGTCCCAGAAACAATTTCAGAAATATTCTCAGAATCAGATTTAGAGCCAACTAAAATAGTAGATAGCTCATCTGAAACAACAAATAACTCAAAAGATTCTGAAAGAACAATGGACATAACACGACAACTGATGGCTACCTCCAAAGGGTCTAATGATCAGCAGACCCATGAAGAAATGAGAGAATCTTCTCCCATAGTAGAAAAACCCCCTGATACACAACAACGACCAGAGAATGCCTTCTCCAAGCCCACAGCTGGTCCCTGGTTCACTTTTGATAAAGCCTCTCCAGAATAATAGAGAGACAAAATCAATGAGTTCAGAGCATGGATTGATCTATAGATGACAAAGCTTGGAGTAGAATTACAGGCCGTCCTCAGAGAATTTGCCTCCAGATTCACTGGTACCCTCAGAGATTGGTTTCGAAGTCTCAGAGGATACAAGCAACTCCAGTTTATCAAGACAGACATTGCAACATGAATTCTTAGACTTATATACCAAGAGTTCATTAGGGACTACAATTTGATTGATAAACAGATGTGCCGGGAATACTTTGAAATGAAATGTTGTTCTTTAAGAAGAAAAGACATTGAGTTTCATTATCAAGAATGTCTCGGCGGTATTACTTGCTCAATGGATTCAATGATCCCAACCTTTGCCAAGTATACCTTTCCTCCCTTCCTCAAGAATTACAACCAGAACTCCAACGGTCTATACTTGCAACCAAGAAAGAACTAAAGGATATCTCCATTGGAGAAATCCATCAACTGTCATTGGCGGCTCTCAACAAGCTCTGTGAGACACAATAACTATTTTTCTCCATGATGAAAGAAAGATGCAAGTTAAAAAAGGCATGCAAAAAGCCTTACTTGCATATCAAATGTAAGGAAAATAGGTGTTCTTGTGGCCCTCCAAGGCGTTCCTATAGTGATCCTTCAAGATGGTCTCGCAGGCCCAAAAGGTCCAATAGGAAAGAAGGAAGGAGATTCAGATTCTTCAGAAGGAAAAGACGAGGCAGTCCAAAATCAAACCTCTGCTTCAACTGCGGAGAAAAATGACATTATTCAAAAAACAGTCCTAAGAAATCTGCCAAGTCAGCTAGAATCATTCAACAACTGCAAGCCTACTCAACAAGCCGTGATGAAGAAGATGCTGATCTGGAATCCCTGTTCTCAGAATAAGAAAAACCAGATGTTGAGACAGTCTTCGCTCGGGCTATCAAAATTATATTCTGATTTTACTATTATTCTTTATGGTCTTCTTCATAATTCTTCATAGTTTCGAACATCGATTAATATCTCTAATTATATTTTCCTCAAAAATACTAACAAAGGGTAAAATTTTTCAAATATTGTTCTGACAGTTATTTTCTTCAAAGAGTTAGAATATTATTCCTAACAGATAATAAGGGTAAAAATCATCCTATCACTGATCCTAACAGTTATTCCAACGGTTAGAATATAGTTCATAATGGCTAAGGACAAAATCGTCCAGTCACTATTTCAACGGTAAAAAACGGTTAGTTTTTACCTTATAAATAATTGAGTTTTCTAACCTTAATGGTCACCCACAAATTTCACTCTTTAAAAATGTTCCTCAACAATCTCCTTCTTTTTAATTTTTATGATGATAGTTTCTTAATAGCTATAAACTTTATTATGTTAGCCATCATCATCATCTTACTTATAGTTGTAATTACGTGTCACTACGGTGCTAGAGCATGAGATCGACATGTGCGAAAACATCGAGTTGTACAAGAACATCAATATTAACTTTTGTATTGTACTTTATTATAATTTTCTCATTATAAAAGTGCCTTATTTATTAAAATATAAAGCGGGATGTTAAAAAACTATGCTTGAGGTGATTTCGATATTTGTCTATTTGATGGGCTTTTAAGGTTTTTGATGACCTGTTAGGGCACTTTCATCTATTACTAGCGATCGATTTGCATATAGAACTCTTTATAAATATTGCATGCGTGACCTGATTTCTGTGAAACTAATTCCTAGTTATTTATTTTTTACACGTATATGTTCAAATTAAAAATAACTAATTTAAAGAGAGAGACGGAAAGAGAGAGAATTGCCACCCTATAAATTGAAACAAATTTTTATTGTTGTTGTTGTTTGCTGTTGCTGTTGTGATGTAAGGAAATATGAATGCAATACTAATGACCCATTTAGTTCGTTGATTGAGTTGAGATGTGATTTTATGTGAGAATTTTTTACTGTAGTAAAAAAGTTAAATGTGATTATTTCTAAGAGATTTTTATTGTAACAAAACTCGAATCAGTAAAATAAACGAAGTCTAAGTCACATAGGCTATATTACTTTTTATTTTTAATTTTATTATTATTATTATTATTTTATTATTTTTGGTTCCAAACAATGGCGATCGATTGTTGTTGTTAGATGGTTCGTTTGCTAACTAATTGCAACATTGTCTCATTGGTCAACTTCCTTGATAACAGCTAGAAGAGGAGGGCGTCGGTCGACATGGTTTGGACCAATTGTTAATGTGGCATGGCCTGATCAATTAGCTTTCTCAGTGTTGGTCGCTTAAATTAAGCTACCTTAATTTATCAATAAACAATAATAAATGATCCTTAGGGTCTAATAAAGTAATTCAAGGGATAAAAAAAGTTAGACATATAAAAATAAAGGGGAAATGAGATTGCCCTCCAAAATCCTTCAACACTACTGCCACCCCCAACCCACACCAAAGGGAAGGAGGGGTAGTTTTGCTAACGTTTCGATGTTTGGAGGGTGAGATTGATAGTTTCTCAAATTTGAAGAATAAAATGAAAAGAGGACCTAACTTTAGGGAAATTTTATAAAATTAATCCTATTAAGTATTAATAGTGGAGGAGATAACAACAGCGTGGCAAATGGAAGCTCAGGGTGAGAACCTCCAATGGCGAGTGTCGTCGTCATCGTCCTCTCTCATCCTCCCCCGCCATGGCGACCCACTTTCCCATTTCACTTTCTCTCTCTAAATCCACCTCCTTCCTTCTTCTTCCATTCTCGCCGCTCCTTCTCCCCCGCCTACCGCCGTTGGGACTCCAATGCGGAGACCGTTCGCTCCCAAAGATTCGGTTTTGGTTTCAAACGAAAATCCGACGAAGAAGAAGACGACGACGATGAATATGAAGGAAAGGATTATTACAGAACTAAGGGGAAAAAGAGGCGGTGGTGGTCCGACGATATGGATGACGGTTCTGGTGGGATTCTCGAGGACGCCATTGATGCTTTCTGGATTTTCAAGGTTCAAACTCTGCTCGTAGTCCCTTTTTTTTTTAAATTCATTTTTGAGCATTGTTTAGTTTCGGATTGTGGATAAGCTATTAGCTTTTTTTCTTTTCTGTTTTTATTTGATTATTGAGTAGGATTGAATTAGCCGGTTTTGTCTTATGATTCTTTAGTTTGATGCTATTAGCTAGCTCTTTCTGTCATTAACATCCATCATCTTTATTATTATATTATCAACTTGAAGCTTATTTTGGAATAATGAGACATTATTTCCAACATTTGGGACATAAATTAGACTAAAATAATCTGACATGTTGGGGAATATTTTACTCAACACTTTGTTTAGTAGTCTGCTGATTCTAGAGTTAATTAGGTTGTATAGATGGATTTTAACTTTCAAGGTCAAATTTTTGGTAATTAAGTTGGGAAAGAGCTGTGGTGAGGAATAAGAATTGCTTATGAAGAAGATCAGTGTACTAAATAATACAGAAAATAAACTAACAAATGGTGGAAACTAACAAGTAAGAGGAACTTACTCAAATGCAAAGATTGCCATTGCAATTCAGACTAAAGACTTGATTAATAATATTGAACGTTTAGTATTGAATGTTTAGATTTCCTCTCTATTGTTCATCCTCTTTTCTCTCTAAATTCTGAACTCCTCTTCTATTTCTGCCCCTCTCTCTCCCCGATCCCTATTCTCTTTCTTTCTTATTGCCCTACGTCAAGCTGTTATTCAATGTCAAATTTCTTAATTTGCGCCCTTGAGCAAGTCACAAATGAAAAGTACTATAATGAGTGTTCATTATCTCAGGTAAACAAGGCACCTCATCGAGGTAGCAAACTGTCTTTTGAGTGTCTCATTAAGCGACACACTGTGTAACACATCAACAAAATCTTCTGATGTGTTTTTATGTTGCTTTTCGATAGATATTAACGTCTTGACAGGAGTATCACCGAATGCGTTACCTTATGATTAGGAAATATCTGAGTATGAATTACAAAAATACCTCGTCACATTACTAATGATTCAAAGCATCTCATTTTTGCAAGTTTTCATTGGTTTATTTCTACTCACTAGATTTACGGTGCTAGGTGTAAATGTTATGTTGCTTTTTGGTCGCAGCAGGTTTTCAAGTCCTATGGTTGGATGCTTCCCGTCATACTTATATCTTGGTTGTTGGCTACTGGCCCGAAAGCCTTTCTCATGGCATTAGCAATCCCACTTGGTCAGTCAGCGCTGTCATTCGCATTCGAGAAGCTATGGGGAGGGACGCAAAGTAGACCAAAGCGCAGACGCAGGGTGAGAAAGAAACAATCTTTCGGCTCTGCAACTGATCCAGAAATTGAGGAAGAAGAAGGTGATGATGAAGGCCAGGAACCGGGCAAGGGAAAAATGCGGTACCAATCATGGGTAGTTGGGAATGAAGGCTCAGTTGAGAAGGGTGGCCAAAGAGCAGCCAGTTTCGGCGGATGGGATGATCTCGAACGAGTTAAATCAGCGGAAAGGCAATCAAGAAGGATGGGTGGATCAGGCAGAACAGAAACCGAGAAGGGTAAGCTGAGTAGGAGAGAGAGGAAAAGTGACACACCTTTGTTGTTGAGGTTGTTAGTTGCCTTCTTCCCTTTTCTGGGATCTTGGACTAAAATGCTGTGGTGAGAATAGCAAACATAACTCGGATGATAAAAATAATTTGGATTCAGTCTCTTGTGGAATGGTCAAGTCACAGTACTGAGACGCCTTTTTCAACCGTCTGGTTGGCTTGACCCTTTTCTTGCTAGATGTTGATGGAGTGATCAAGAAATCACAATTCACCTGGAGAATCCAAGATGTCAAGACTTATTAAACTGGGAGGACTGGTTTTTTTTTTTTTTTTTTTTTTTTTTTTTTTTCTTTTGAAGCATGCTTAAACATGTTTCTTCCTAAGTCGATGATAGGATCTTTTCTGAAAATTCCATCATCTTCACTCTTCATTGTGTAAGGCCCAAGAAACAATATATCTAGTTACAATAATACATACGTGTCATAAAAAGTGAGGATACAGTTAAGAAGAGGTGCAGTAACTGTTTGCAGACTCGTTTCTATCTGATACACCTTCAATGACTGATTTTATGTTATTCATGTACTTTAAGGCTCCTTTTTGAGATATGAATTATCTTCTTTTATCTGTTTTTTTTTTCTTTATTTTAAAACCCGCAAGCTTTTTATCTTCTGGGTTTTTTCTAGCTTAAAGAAATAGAAGCTTCATCGTAGAAGCTCTGGGTTTTTTTCTTTTCTTTTTCTTCTTTCTCTTTCTGTCTCTCGAGCAATTTTCTCTCGTCTGTTGTCCCCGATCCTTACTTCTACACAACCACTACCGTCGCCGTCAGCCCTTCTTTGATCATGATCGGATGTGGCTCAATGACAAGGTTTTAATTTTCTTTCCTTTTTTCCATTTCATTTTTATGATTTCGTTGTTCTTCGTGTTTTTACTTTCCTTGGAAGAACAATTTTTTTCTTCTCTTCCTCTTCTCTGAATTCTTCATTTGGCGAACCGTAGAAAACTTTCACTTTAGTACTCTTTCCCTCCACTTAGCAAATTAAGTACATAATTTTAAAAAAAAATTGTGTTTTTCTCTGTGTCTCTGCTTTTGGTACAGTGTGATTCACGATTTGCTGAGCTTCATTTAGCTCGAGCTTCGAAGTACACGTGATGATCTGGGTTGTCTTCTTTGCCTCCACTATTTCTACTCAACTTTCAGTAAGTTTTTTTTTTCCTTTTTTTTTTTAATAAAACTGTTAGTGGTGTGCTTTAATTTTTTATTTTTTTTTTAATTTTCTGCATTTCAGGAATGGAATATGTGCTTTGATATGTGTAATTTTGTAGTTCTTTTGGGTTTGGGATTTCAATCTCTGCGCATTTTTGTGTCTTCAGCTTTGAGATTTTATGAAATTTGGATCTTGATCGGGATATTCAGCTGATTCTTCTGCTGTTTTGTGGTTTAGAAAAATGAGCTTGATTTGGATTTTGGAAAACCGAGGAAACTGAAGGAAAATGATATTTGTATTTATTTATTTTTTTCCTGTCATTTGCATTTATATCGTTATAATCGAAAGAAAATTTGAAGTCCAAATGTGTTTTGTGATTGTAAAGTTTTTAACTTCTTTGGTTAATTTCTGCTTAATTAAGCTAAAATCATGTTCAAGCAAAAAAAAAAAAAAAAAAGCTTTAATCTTGGGTTGAGATTTGGACTTTTTTGTTCAACTCTTTAGCTTGAACAATTTCTAGGATCTTGAAATTTTTTTGTTTTCTCGGTTCTTTAGCTTCTGTTCCTTTGTTTTTCATTCTCTGATTTTTATTTTTATTTTTGTGGTTTGCTTTGATTTTTTTGTGGTTTTATTTTCAAATTTATGGTTTCGTTCTCAAATTTTTTTCGTTCTGCTTTTTGTTTTTTTTTTCTGGTTAGTTTTTTTTTAGCGTTTGTGTATTATCGTTCTCTTATTTTCTGGATGGTTTATTCTTCATATGTTATTTCTTTATGGTTCTAGAGAGTTGCTACTATGTTGTCGTGTTTCTATTCTCTGTTGATACGTATTTTTATCATGTTATAAATCTGTATAATCGAAATGATAATTTTTGTATTTTTTTATTATTGGTTATGTTTCTCTGTGATTTACATTCTTCTTGACACCTGTTGTTAATCAATCATTATACCCGTTGATATTTGTTTGTTGGTTTTGTTGTCAGATTATTAGCAGAATTATCTTATCTTTGTATATAAACTATGTTTTTTTTTATTAGGACGGTTTTTTGTTTTCTTTCTATTTTCCTTCTTTCACTATTATAATATATCTTCTTCTACCTTTTCTGTTTTCTTCCTCTTTACCAATATTCGAAGTTTCGTTGTTGTGCTCTGTCTGTTCTATCCATTGTTCTCCTTCGACTGAGGTATGTATATTTTTATTCTTAGATATGTTTCTTATCCATTGTTCTCCAGATATTTTCCTTGCATTTAATGAGTTGATGATAGGTGATATATAGACTAGTGATTTGTCTTCCTAGCCTAATCATCTGTACCGTGTTTGCTTTAGACATGTTAATTTAATTGGGAATTTTTTTAAATTATTTGAAATATGGAAAATAATTGGGAAAAAAATATCGTTTGGCTTCTTTCTCTCTGTTTTTTTTTTCTTGGCCTTTTTTTTTTTTTATTTCCTCTCTTCTCTTAAATGGTTATTATCTAACTTTTTTCAATTTGTTTCCTATCTCACTTTCTGACTGTAATAATATATTGGTCTTATTACCTAATTAGATTTTTAATTCTTGAATCTTCCTAGACTCATTCTCTGATATGACGTGTATTGTTATAGGCTATCAAGTGTTTTAAGTAGGTTCTTTTGTTCTCTATTAATATGTACTGCTGCTGGATATGGATTTATTCTGTGTGTTGCTGGTCTTTCTTCCAGCACTTGACCTTTTTTTTTCTATTGCATTCCCCTTCCGATCATTTACTGCCCTACTTCACTTCTAAACATTTATTGCTCTTCCATCATTTACTCCTCTACCTCTATATCTTTATGTTTTTCTACTGACTTGGTTAAAGTTTGGTTGGCCCACATTTTGTATTTAAGGCAGCATTTACAAGGTGTCAGGTACCATCAATAACTTCTATCTGCAGTTTTTTAATATATACTGTTGATATTAAATGTATTGGTCTGTTGTAATATTGTTAACATGTGTTGTTTGTTTTTTATGATTTCTGTTCATATAAGTTTTTATTATGTTGTTAATAAATATTAGTAATTTATAGTCCTTAAGAAGGATCCTACTTCATTGTTAATCAATATTGCTAAGATATTGACTTCCTGTTTATTGGTTTCTCATATATGTATGTATTTTATGTATTTTATTGTTGTGAATGTATCTTTTCTATTTGGATTTTGATTTCCTATATTCTTTTTACCTAAAATTTTTTGACTATTCTCCTTATCTTTTTCCTGCTTCTTCTCATGATATTGATTTTTTGGTCATTTACTCTTCGATACTATATATATATATATATGTGTGTGTCTTTATATGACATATTTTTGTTTTAACTGATTTTTTAATGTGACGATGATAGTTATTCTTAAATTTCACATGTTGAGTTTTATGTAAATTGTCCAAAAATTGCCGTGATTATGCTTTCCTCACTTTGATCGTGATTTTGTCTATTTCTTTTTTTTTATTTATCTTATGTTTTTGTTCCTTATTCTGGTATTATTCAGTTTTTGCTATTACTATTTCATGGAAAACTTATTCACTCATAAATCTTTCTTACTTGGATTCTGATTGACCAATTGTTTTTGACTAAGTTTTTGCAAAAAGATAGTTCTTTTCGGCTAAAAAAAAGAAAAAGAAAAAAATCTCCTTTGAATGTTTCTGGTTTTCTTATATCTTCCCAACTTAGAGCTCTTCGGATTCTCTCTCTAAACAGTGATTTGCACTTCTCAAACTGTGATTTTTGCTGTTCTAGATCTTCATTTTGGTTTTCATTTTTGGTATTTTCATGGCTTTGTGCTTTTGTGGATCGAGTTTGGTTAGTTTACGTTCGAATTTTTTCGCGGAATAAGATTGCTTTGACTGGTTTGGTATGGATTTGAAACGAAATTTTCTGGTTTGGTGAAAAATTTTCAGGTGGTGAAATGGCATGCAAGAAGATCAGAGAGTATGATTCAAAGAGATTGTTGAATGAGCATTTCAAGAGGCTCTCTGACCGTGAATTGCCAATCAAATCCGCTCAGGTTAGTATTCAATTTTTTTTTATCTTTTTTTTTTTTGAGATTTTGTTCCTGTTTAGCTTATAGATCTCAAATATTAAGCCTCTTTTAGCTTTTTTCATTGCATTTTTGTGATGGTGACTTGATCCCACTTCAATTGTCAGGATTTGATTAATCTGATTCTGTTTGTGTATTTCTTCGTTGTGAACTTAATTTATCTTATATATTTAGGATTAGGAAGGTATAGTTTATCACATTCAGAATTAGACCTTAGAATTTTGATTTTGTCAACCGTTAAAGAGTTTTTATTTTCTCTTTTTTTTAGAAAATAATTTTCTAGATTGGTGTCTGTGCCTAGCTTTGCTGATTAAATTGTGATTTTTTTTGTTATGTCATAGATTACCGAATCAACCGATCTCAATGAGTTAGCAAACAATGAGCCTTGGCTTTCGTCTTTCAAAGTGGTAGTTAAACCCGACATGTTGTTTGGAAAGCGTGGAAAGAATAGCTTGGTTGCTTTGAATCTGGACTATGCTCAAGTTGCCACTTTTGTCAAGGAGCGACTTGGCAAAGAGGTATTTTTATGTTTTTTCTCTATTTTCATTCATGCTATACTAAAGAATTTTAAACCGAAGGTTGTAAATTTTCTTAAGAAGTTGACTTTGAGCTTAGCTTTCAACTGTCTTTTGAACTCTTCCGAAATAACTCTTTTCCTTTTTTTCCCTCTATCTTGCTGTAACGGCACTCTTTTTTTTTTTTCCTTCATTGTCTTCTATTGCTCGTTTGTTGTTTTGATTTAGGATTTTGTATGGTCTCCTTCTTTGTTCTTGCCGGTGTAAACATTTAGGGTTCTATGGAATTTTTTTTTATTTTTTTTTATTTGTTATTTTTATAAAATAGAGGGATTCGTCGGTATTTCTTTAATTAAATTTATGGCTATTTCTTATGTTGAGTTTTTTCCTCTTTTACTGATGATAATCCACTTTTGTTCAAGTGTTGTCTTTCTTCTAACAACTTATTCGTTTGGCTAGAAAGGGATTTACATGTGCATGCTTAGATCTTCCCCGTGGCTGATTTTCATAGGTAAATCTTGTATTTTTTCCTTCCTTCTATGCCTTTTTGTATTTACTGACTTTGTTCTTGGAT